AACCGATTAAGCGCATGGTGGAGGTCACATTTGAAAAATCATAATTGACATGAGTCAGTCTTACATTTGCAACTGAGGTATGTTCCAATGGTCAACGATGTGTCCTAATCCAATCCATAAAATTATGTACGCGAGGTGAATCAGCAAACACTAAGGCACTGCAACATATTCGCTGGCAAAAAGAATGGCAGTATACAGGGTTGGTAACAACAATCTCTGCTGCGTCATTTCTGCAAAAAATTGGTGCAAAGGTCAAACTGAATGAATTGTATGTGAGAAATGAAATAAAATATGGCCCCAATGTTTTGGAGTAGCTTCTACGAGTAGGAACGTCCAACACCGCAGGTAGCTATGACACTGGAATTGTTAATACCTGATTGACACGGCAAAAATGTACTGCGTAATAAAAGAAAAATTTACAAATGCATATAGATACCAGATTACAACGGCGAAGATGTGCTGTATAAGGGACGCAAATTTCATCTCTTACTTTACACTGACACTGCGGTAGTGTAATAATGGTGCAATTCTTACACCGGGCTGTATCACAATAGTGCATTGCCCTTTTGCTTCTAATCGCCTAAGGGAACACCTAAGCAGGCCATGGCTACATGTTACTCAAAGCCGGCAGAGCATAGTGTAACTCTATGTTAATCTCTGTTTCTTTGTCATTTACCCACGAAACGCGTGCAATCAAATTCCGTTTCAGCACCATACAAATAAGACTTATATCGAAGAACATGCCGAATCTGGTCACACTCAACCGCCACTTCTTGCGATTTGAAAACAGTTTATGGCTGATGAATCGCGTGCCATCTCTAAAAGGAAAGACCGACTCCCTTGCAAAAGTTAACGTCTGCCTCTCTCTCTCTCTCCCTCTCTCTCTCTCTCTCTCTCTCTCTCACATGACTCTAATAAAACATCTCGCCAGGGTTTAACTGTGTCAGTCACAAGTGCAAAAGATTTGTTCTGCTGAACTGTTCAGTGATGTACACTCCGTTTATCCTTGCTGTTTTAGTCACGCATTTACTCCCAGTGACTGGCCTGTGGCTTTTATTATTCTACTGTCAAAAGAAACTTTATTAACAAACGAAACTGAATAATAAACTGACCCATCACCTTGACATCGGTTCTTCTGAATTGCCTAGAAAGTCACTTCTGTCATCATTAGAAGAGTAGGAAACGGGGAGATTGTTGCCGTCATCGATCCATAGCAGTTCACGTATTGCAAAGATTTTGGGACCGGTGAGGCGATTGTCTGTCTCCGAAACTGCGCTGCTAGCGAACATAACAAAGCCAGTCGAATTGAGTTGACCGTATTTTGCGAGTTGCTATCTGCTTTTAACAGATTCCCTCGCGGAACTCGAAAGCGTACTCTGCGAACTCACTATCGATTCATTCGTCACTCGATGGATCCCCAGCGACCTCCCCCTTCGTCAAATTCGCGATCAGAAAAGTATGATCTTATAGAGAACAACATGTGCACTGCTAAACGTTCAGTCTTTTTGCCCTTGTGGTGTAATATATTTAAGAATATTTGCCTCATCAGTGATTCAGTCAGATTAAGTGTGCTAACGACACTGTTGTTGTCAATTTTTTGCATTCGTCTCACTAAATCCAAGTAACACAAAGAAGGTAGGCACTTCTCAATATATCGTCAAATGTTATAACCCTTTGCAGCAGTCCGGTGCTCCAAGTCCTACAAATGAAAAACAACAATCTACTCTTTATCTGCTTCACGTTTCACAACCGTATTGCAACAGTTGGAATACCTTTATGCTGAAAGACTGAAGACACTATATGTTCCAAGTGCATCATCCAATATTGCATATATCAGCCGCTATTAATTTTGTAGGACTGTTCTCCTGCGACTTTAAAGCAGCAAGAAGGTCACTGAGATTTGTCTAAAGACTTCTTTGTTTTTCATACAGCCCAAACTATCGCTAAGTCAGCATTCGCGCATAATCTGCGAATCGGAAATAACAGCTTAAATGAGCCACTCCATGTTATTAGCGATGGCCTTTATCATTGTCCGTCAGTCAACGCATTCATCAGATTCATACCTACTGATGTTGCCATACGAATGGAGCGCCATAGAAGGACATTAATTCAGCTTCAACGCGTTTTTTTCATGGATGGCAGTGCAGTGAAATTAGCGCGACTCAATAGTAGTTGAAGTAGTAAAAACTGTTTTTTCCGTGCATGATAACCGGGCCATGCTATGCACTGTTCCTTCCATTTTTGATGCCAAATACCTGCTTTTTTTATAATACGAAAAGCATTGTACCTGTGCGATAATACTCAAGCGACAAAACTTTAACTTCAACTATTATGGTGAAAACACCCACCTTGAAAGACAGATAATCGATTTCCTTTCAATTTTTCTCTAATTGAAATGTCCAACTCTTAAGCATGTTGGGGAGGGGGAACATTTCTTAAAGCGTTTTTCTCTGGGTTACACCTTGTTCTGGCCATTACAGTTTACAATCAGTCAGTATACGGTTAACGCAAAAATGCACCCACAACACACTCTCGAAGGGCATAGCCGTATGCCTCGAGCATTCGGTATACCACAGCAGAATATCAGGCTGCTCCTGTTGCTCGAAGATCAGCAACTTGCTAAATGTTTCTCGGATTGTTGTATCAAAGCAACGTTTGGTAAATTCATTGCTCAAAGAAATTAACGGTTAGAACAAAGATGTCCTTTCTCGGATTTCGAATCCGACATCTCTGGACTTCGAATCCGGCCTTAATGTCACTGTGCCATCAGCCTTACAAAACTTTCAATGCTTATATGCAAAAATTTCTCTAATAATAATAAATGATTCTCTGTCTTAGCTCTGTAGTGCAATTAACCGAGGTGTACTACCTTTAGTATTGTGCAATGTAGTTGCATTATAATAATGTATTACCGGCAAGCTTCTGTAGGATCAGCAGGTTTTTATTTCGTTTCAGAATACAAAAGTTACCTTCAGTGTTATTACTTGACCTACGTTGGGCAATTCTGCGTTTCGGATGGTAGTGGGTGTGCTTGTCTGGTTGGCAGTCTGTTTTATCGTATGTATGTGTACGAATCGGTGCATTTTTTGCCATTTCGGGGAGATAGATACGCACGGTGTATGGTTTGCACATGTTCATGATGGCTGCGCGTAGAGCTCTGATAAGAATTATAAACAATTATTAAACATCCTTTCTGTGTTGAGTCAGATTTTCGTTTCGTTTTTTCGTAGTGTTTTATGCATTATTTGATACTTAAGGACTCAGCAAGTGTTGACGGTGGAAGTAAATACTGAAGTCTTTGCTAACTGTAGTTAGTGGATGTTTCAATTTAATGAAGCCTTAATCAGTTTAATGAAAAGTTTGTAAAATCTATCACAGGTCACTCGAATTTAAGTAACTTCGTGAAGTTGTGGAAGGTGATGAGGAGTGACCAAGGATCAAAGTAGTTGGGTATATTGAATAGCCATAATTGTTGCGTTTTTGAATCCGTTTTGTGTAGTTTTGTCAGCTGGTCGTTTATCGGAACTACTTCGTAGAATTAAAATGCATCGCCGTGTAGAATTGCCGGTTGTAATGAGTGATGGATGGAAGAACAGTGTTTCACCGGTTATTATGCAAATCTGCAGCAGTAGTTTTAAGGGAACCTAAGTTTGAGAGTTTCAGTGTCAGTTCAGTTGGTAAAAAACTTAATTTGACCATCCATTATTTCTGAGCATGTCTGGATGCACCTGTAGATTGTCTTTCTGCGCTTAAGACACCGATAATCTTAATTAAATGGGTTGTTTTTGCTTGGTTTG